AATAGCCAATAGCCACAGCCAACAGCCAACAGCCAACAGCCAACAGCCAACAGCCAACAGCCAACAGCCAACAGCCAACAGCCAACAGCCAACAGCCAACAGCCAACAGCCAACAGCCAAAACAGTCCCTACACTCTACATACCCACGCCACCATTCGCTCGAATAAGGCAAGAACAGCACGAATACAATTCGGCATCCATTGTGAAGCCATTTCATTCATCGAGTCGTATTGAGTTAGGTTTGCAAGCATGTGGGCTTTGCATAAAGAAATCGAGGCCATGTGTCGGCATACACAGTATCATGGAGATACCCAATAAGCTCTCCAATCACAGCAACAATGACCATTGTATCTCCACCACCCCCACCCGGTGCGCTTCATAGGTCCTCCTGCCTCGTATCTTTTCATCTCCTATAGATATGTTACATCAGGGAAAACTGCAATCTATTGCTACTGTGGCACCAACTTCCAAGTACCCAATTGCCGAGTCGATTACCTCTTTACTGCAACCAATGATTAGAAAACGTTTATTTCCCAGGAAGACAACATACGGAAGAACAGGCATTCTCTCTCTAAGAAGGTCTTGGATTCGCAAGATAGGAAGACAAGTACCATGGATGCTGCCAACATCTAGATGATCGCATATTGTTCTTATGGCAAGTCTCTGCTTAGCGGCACCATAACGATTCATGATACGAACAAGATGGTAGTTTGAGTAGCCTGTATAAGATTAGTCAACATGCCTGCGCCTGTCTTGGTGAATACACATACTAAAAATATGATAAAATACTAGCGATGCGACACCTGTGCCATGCGCTTGCTCCACTGACGCCACAAGCTGGTTGATAAAGGCTGTTTCGTTGCGCAGAGTCTTCAGGCTACGTGAACTCCCTTCAAAGCCCGCTTCCTTCATTCGTGCATTGATCTGAGCACCCAATTAGTCACATGTACATGCCTTCTTCTCATGCAGCGCTAATCGTACCACTCGAGCGCCTGCTTTCCCAGGTTCACATGCCAGCGTCTCCCAGATGAGGAAGAAGCATAGGGAAATGAACCTGGTAAATGTTGCGTGCTTCAATTGTTCCTTTGCTTGGCCAGCCATAAACGCACAGCATTTCAAAGCTTGTGCAGCAGGCTCCGAATGTATCGTGTCGGGCACCTCTACATGGAGGAGAGGGTTTTGGAGATCGCCAATCATGCCGTAAGACTTCGTGTTGCGAAATCTGTTTAGAAATTCCTCGGCAACTTTGGTGACTGGGCATATCTGCCTACTTGGATCCAGTCTGTGCTTTAGGCCAAATCCGTCTGCTTCTCGCGTAGCACACATGCCGTATCGTTCGCCTAACGGAGATCCTAACGCACGTTCCGCATCCTTATCCAAACATGAGTCTTGTTGTGAAGAGAAGATCAAGTCATCGATCTGGCTGGACAAGTCTTCTTCATCAGAAACGGCTTCGGGAAACCCTAGCAGATGGCTGAGGATCAGGTCCGCCTTCTCTGAACAGGCCAAGCCTTCGTGCGCCACTTCCATAGGAACCTGGAGTCGCCGCCTGCAAATCATAGTCAGACTTGGAGCCAAACCCTGTCAATTACTCGGACAACTAACCACACATCGCCTACGTTGAAGTTCCATGGATGATAGGGCATGTGTAGGCTATAGCTTTTCTGTGCCGTAGTAATAATCGTCGCCATGAAATCTTCCATAGCAAGTTCTTGACAGCATTGTGCGTAAAAGGCTTCTGCATGGTAAAATATCTGGCTGCGGTGGCTCGGGATACTGAAGGGAACAATACACACGTTGACAATGAGGTTATGTGTCGTTTGGAAAGGTACCGAAACATAAAGATAAAGGGCCTCTAACAACACTTCAGAAGAGAAAACTGGAGACCCTCGATCATCAATCGGTGGTGCTAGAACAAAAGTATTGGAAGAGACTCGATGCAAAATTTCCTTTGCCATTATATCTCGGTGGGTGCTAGAATGGCTGAGCTTTTGCCAGTGACACTGGAGAAGCGGAAAAGTAATATAATGGTTACGAGCAGAATGATACCTGTAGCTAGAAATGATTTGCAAGCTGCAGGCCCTATCTTCGAGCTAATGATGCAGGCCTCGGCTTAGGTCTTATATGTCTCAACGCACCAGCTCTATACGCGCTCCAATTTCCGCCATAAACCGGCGTAAACAGTCTTAGGTGGAGCTCTACTACACAGCCTCCGCTCAATCTCTACAGTCTAGGTTTTTTTTCTCATAAAACCTTGAGCAGGACAGCTTCGCAATTGACTTCAGTTTCTGGTTCGCGGTCCATTTCGGTTGTTAGTTTCGATAAAGACATTGAGCGAGATGAAGAGACAGAGATCAATGTTTCTTTCGCCCCAACAACTTTGTTGAATCCATACGAGTATCTGCTGATATTTCAAGAAGGTTCTTAAGATGCCGAAAAACTAGTATATTTTCGGCGTTTGCCGCGTGCCTAGGGGTACGATTCAGGGGTCTCCGTGCCGACCCGACTTGGTGTGTATGTCAGGGTAAGCAAAAAACGTAATGGATGCATTGCCACCGACATGTTACTGGCAATGCAGTAATAAAAAGTCCGGGCGATATGCTCACTTAGAATAAAGACTGGGTGTTCAATTGAAATTGAATTCAAGACGTGATGTGCTCGGTTTCTGGCGCAGATACATTTAAGTACCGGACTGCTCAATGCAACGTTCCAATGAAACAGGAAACAACCACGGACGAGGCATCTCTCAAAAAGCAAAATGTTGAAAACTCAGCAATATGAGACAAGAAACCGAGATATCACCGAGTGCACGCTTGTCGGGCTACCATCCATACAGCTTGGTAGTCTGATACGGTTATATTAAGACTTTACGAACCGTCATCCTACAACTAGTTCATATGCGGAAGGAGATGATATATTCATCTTCTCCAATACGGTACGACCATCCCAGCAGAGTCTTCGCCCTCGCCCATCACCTACTACTGCCTCCTGCCAAGTCTAAGCCATCTTTGCTTCGTACACAGCTCTTGACCGGATTCGGTTAGCATTCCGCCCCTTTGCGGTTGCTCTGAACCTCCTCTGGCTCATGCGTATGCGTTAGTGTACTATCCGATGGGCACCTGATGAGCACTGGCATACGTACCCGATGCCCAGCTTGGAGCCTGTTCGGTTGCTCCGCTTCCCAATCTGATCTTGAGCCCATTTTGGATTAGATACTGGTATTAGCGTAGTAGCTAGTCTTCTATGAATTTGCCTATCAGATAGCCCAGGCCAACAATGGTTAATCCGATGCCTAAAAGCAGCCAAGAGTATTCAATCTAAGAAGGCCAGCATCCATCTCCAGTGGGCACCAGGCCATAAAGCAGTTAAAGGAAACGAAAGAGCAGACGCGTTAGCAAAGGAAGCAGCCAAAGAAGAGCCAAACTCTACAACAGCAAGCCTCGCCTTTCTAGGCACAGAGACGAGACTACTACAGCTAAGAGATCAAAGCCAAGAGTGGCATAAATATAGAGAAAGAGCCATCCAGGAAAACAAGCATACCTACTCTGCTAGATTTCCCCTTGCTTACCCTAAGGCAATCCAAATCCCAAGAGGTACACCAAGGGAAATCTCTAGCGCCTTCTTCTCTCTCAAGCTAGGCCACGGATACTTTAACGCCTATCTAGAGAGAGTGAAAAAGAGAAACTCAAACCTCTGCGATTGTGGGAGAGTACAGACACCAGATCACCTTCTCCTATACTGCCGGCACTACAACACAGAAAGGCAAGCGCTAAAAGCAACTCTTCGCGAGAACTACCTAACAATCCAACTACTTCTCCACACTAGCAAAGGCAGAGAGGCGACTTTAGCTTTCATTGCTAAA